TAGAAGACACGTTGTCAACCCAGGGATCTATGGCCCAATCCCAATCCTCGCACTTCCACCCTTGCGCCCCTCATTTGCGCGTTCCCGATGATGGGTGCGAGTGCGTAGGGCGTCCCAATCCTCCAGGGAGGTCTTTGGCCCTGCCCCCTTTGCGCCCCTGATCCACACTTCGCCGTAGACTGCATCTATGCGGACTCTGGCGAAGGATATTGCCCATAATTCTTTGCGGTACATACCAAAGCGTCGGGAAAATGGATTTAAGTCTAAGTTTTGAAATATATGTGCAGTATGTGTGTAAATAAGTTTCGCTATATTACTTGGAAAGAAGCATAAACGTCTGATGAAGAATTACGGACATTGTATTTTAACAATTTAATAACTTTTTAAAGCAAGCATTCATATAACATCCAATTTAAACTTTACACTTAGTACAATAAACTTAGGATGTACAAAAACTGACCAGATAACTGTAATTATACAGCGATCTCAAAATACGAATAACCAGTATACATTTATTTTAACGTGTGTGGAGCAACCCATTTTGTTTCCCAAAGGGTAAGACAAAATGACCTCTTATTTTGATAAAGTTTAGGTCTGAAAATGACCATCTCTTGATGAGTCGATGACGTAACCTGCACTGTCCCAATTCCGACTTTTTTGCACGCTTGTAACCTGCGCACTCAAACCCTTGGGTGCACTTCAAACAAATGCACACTTCGTAGAGGGGTGTAGGGTGCAGTGTGGGTATTGGGACTGGGCCCATGTGTCAACCCTGGTTCTTTAATTACCGTCAGATGCCGTCATCACTTTTCTTATAAAAAAGCGTGTAATAACTGGCGCCGGCACTCGCAGCCCTGTGCGTACGAATAAAAACCTAATACACACATTGATCATGCCAGCATAATATTTTAATATTAATGGATGTCTAATATTTGTTCAAATGTCATTATTTTTGTTAATATTCGAATTGTGTTGGAATTTCGTTTTCCTATTCCTAGTGTATATACTTTCATCATCTAATATATACCAGGATGGCCGAGTGGTTAAGGCGTTGGACTTAAGATCCAATGGACAGTAGTCCTCGTGGGTTCAAACCCCACTCCTGGTAACTTTAATTTGACATTTACTGACAGAATATCACTTACTTCTGGTTTACTAAAATCATAATGAAGGTTATGTGAAATGTGGAGCGTAATCCAGTGTATACAGGAAAATTACATATTTAATAATAACATACAACACACTGTGTCGTCTGGAGAAGTGTGAACCAAGGTGAAGGCCCCCTCGTCTCTGTTGATGGTCTGTCCTCCCCTCTTCCTGATTTCAATCACCACTTTAATCAGATTGATTGTAGTCAGATGTTGCTGATTTGAGGTTTTCTTACTTTGCTTTTTTCTTAAATGATTTGGTCAGTGGCGTTTGTTTACATTTTGTGACATTGGACTTTCTCTGGTTGTATCCAGTCCTGTACAAAGATTTCTCTGAGTCTTGATGAAGATTGTTTACACCAGGATGGCCGAGTGGTTAAGGCGTTGGACTTAAGATCCAATGGACAGTAGTTCTCGTGGGTTCAAACCCCACTCCTGGTAACTTAAGGATGTACAACTTATATATAAAGTGTTTAAAATATCACACAAATCATAAAATCATAATAAAAGGTGATGTGGCTGTAAATACAGTATATATTTGAAGATTAAAATAAAACAAAAACACACTGTGGTCTCTGGAAAAGTGAGTCCCGAGTGTGGACATGGGTAAAGGCCCCCTTCATGGTCTGTTCCCCCACTTCCTGATTTCAATCTCCTCTTTGATCCATCATTTGTATTTATATTTTTATGTTCCAACTATATCTGCATTATTCCAGTCCATTACAGGATTTTCTCTTTTGCATTGGTCAGATGTTGCTGATTTGAGGTTTTCTTGCTTAGATTTTTTCTTATGAATAGAAGGATTTGTGGGTTTAAACCCCACTCCTGGCAAATTTAGGATTAAAAACCATTTACAACCTCTGATTTCATGAAGAGAATTATACAATGTATAACATGAGGAAAGTAATTCAGTATAAAGCAAGGGGGAAAAACTGAGGTCAAAGATTCTCTACAGCAGACACCGGGAACGTTTTTGGCTGAAACAGTGAAAAAAGTCAGATACTTTAAAATGTATTTTTGTGGGAGCCATGCACTTTACCCTCAACATATTTAGAGTGTAATATTGGTCTCAGAATATATTATTCAATACCTTCTTATTTAAATGAAATATTTATACTGAAGAAATCCAATACATAAAACATTTTTACATTCTTAGCAACTGGAACTATTATCAAGAACAGGGTTCCAAAGCAATTCCAGCTTCCAGCAGACAAGCAGCCGAGAAAAGATGGGAGAGGGGCTTCAGTGACGCTGGTCTGGAGGGAGCCTGAGCTGGCAGTGACAAAATGGTTTGATAACAAACCAGTTCTGATGGCCTCTACTGTCTCTGGGAAAGATCCAGAGTATATCTGTAGCAGATGGTCCAACAAAGACAAACGTCATGTCCAGGTGAGACAGCCAGCCGTAATCTGGGAATATATTGATAACATGGGTGGCGTCGACCTCTGCGACCGAATGCTGAGCTTCTACCGCATGTCAACCAGAACCATTTCTTTGATATTACCATTACAAATGCTTGGATCCAGCACAAGTGTGACAGCAAAGTGCTGAAACGACCGGCTGAGAACACACAGCAGCTGGTCTTCAAATTGCACCTGGCTGAGGGGCTTCTGGGTAGCCCTTCCATTGATAACAGTGGTGAAGTCAGTGATGGAGATTATCAACCACCAACCAAAACAAGATTCCCACAACCGGCGCCATCTGTACACAGGCTAGGTGCCAAGCACATGGCACAGATGCTGGACATCAAACATGCAGAAAGATGCAGGAACAAGGGCTGCAACGGAAAGAACTACATCAGGCGCATCAAATGCAAGATGTTAATCTGCATAACCAAAACTAAAACATGCTTCCAGGATTATCACAATAAGCATAACCAAAACTAAAACATGCTTCCAGGATTATCACAATAAAAAAACCTGAACTAATTTGGTTCTATCTCTTATAGTTCAATGTAGAGACAAAATACATGTTTTACATTACATTGTAACAGTGTTACTGATTTTTATTTGTATTGTTCAATTTGAATGTGTTCTTGGGTGAATGTCACTCTAAAGATATAATTTGCTCTTATTTTCTCACTTTCTAAATGCGGTTCCATTTTTATACGGATATCGTCCTGTTGTCCTCTACAGTGGACATGCTGTGAAATCTGTGAATAAGAACTATATATATTTTTTTAAATGGTAAGGTGCTTTTTTAAGGCGAAATAGATGGGAAATCACAGAAAAACAGAACTTTTTTGTTCCTGGCTTGTTTTCAGTTCTGGGTTTTTGTGTTTTGTTGCTACCTTGTATTTATTGTATTAAACTATCCAGATTAATTTTATTTAACCCTAATATTCAAAGTGGTGGCTAGGCAATCAAATTATGAATCAGGGAAACAATTCAAACATTTTTATCATTCTTAAATGTATTGATGTATGACTGCTCTCGAGGAAATACAGTCTTAACGGTTGTACTATATATTTTACACTAACCTGTGATTGGCACGTTAGGTTTACGGCAAAAAGATTATTGTTATTTGTATTTCTCAGGCACCTACCAAATAGATACTGTAGATAGATAGATAGATACTTTATTGATCCCCGTAGGAAAAATTCAGGTGTCCAGTTGCAGCAGAAACACATCCATCCACACTAACCAAACAAATAAATTGCTTATTCTAAAAATCTAACAATAGTAATAATAAAATGCCACTGCACTTCAGGTCACATCAGCAGAGGTGGAGAAGCCGCTTTGGGCTGAGGCTCCAGGACCTTGAAACACTTCTCGATGTCTGTTTGGGATGATTGTGATGCTGAAAGACCCATGTTTCATCTTTGAGGCCTTTGCTGATGGAAGGAGGTTTCCACTGAAAACAATACAGTAGATAGCCCCATTCAATCTTTCCTTTAAACGTAAAAATCATCCTAGCCTGGCTTTAGCCTTCTGTAAATTCTGGTCACTTATTATTTCCCTACATGCACGTCTGGGTCTGCTCCCAGTGAACGCAGTTACATCGGTTGAATCCGACCAATCAGTGAGCGGGGGAGGAGGGTGTATGTGTCGGGGACGTCAAAAGTTTGCGCCGAAGTGGCTGGTTGGAGTTTAGCAATGATGGAGAATGCAATAGTAAAGTAATTTGTTCTCGTTCTGCTCCAAATCTCAAGAAATAGAAACCGGAGCAAGAAGAATGTTTAGCAAATGTAATTGTTGCAAAGATTTTGTGGCTCTACTGCCCGCAGGCCCACAGGAACTCAATGGAGCAATTTCAGACCTTAGTACGAAATTAAATTTGTACGATGGCGTGGTAAGACCTGGCTATAATTGTCCTGGTTGATTCTGGTTTGCAGAAAAAAACTGCCTCAAAAGCATGATGTTTCCACCCCCATGCTTCACAGTAGGTTTGTACATATCCAAGTGTGAGGTTTACTACACAGCATTTGCATGACCAAGAAGAGGATTCGGAGAATGCCATCTGGTCAAAAAAACCAAAATGGAACTTTTTGTTAAAAACTCAATTCAACTGAAGAGTTGCATCCAATGAACAACCTACCTACCCATATACGCAAAAAGGGGGTTTAGGGTATATTCCCAACAAAGGGTATATAAGTATTGAGATGGACTAAACTGAACATTTTATTTTCCACCACAATTTGCAAATACATTCTTTAAAAAATATTTTGTTGAGGGTTACCTATGATGACCATTACCGGAATTTCTAATCTTTTTAAGTGGGAGGACTTGCACAGTTGATGGCTGACTAAATATCTTTTTTATTCCCCTCAGTATGTCATGCATTTTGGTGAAACAATGGGGCCTCACATGTCGGGTGTGGGATGTATCTGACTGTGGGCTCCCGTTTCTGCAGACCGCCTGGACCTGCTGCCAGTGTGCGCTGCTCTTGGGCTCCTGCTGATCTGCTCTACTGTGGCCAATGCTCTGATGCTCTGCAGAGTCAGAAAAGCTGCTCATGCTAACGGTATGTGGAGCTAATGCTATGTGGAGCTAATGCTATGTGGAGCTCAACAGGCTCACATCATTATTAAATGAATTTCAAATTTTAAGAATTGTATTAAATTGACCTCCTGGCCTTAAATGTCGATATAAAATATGTCATTTTAGGAATTCTAATATTACTGGTAAGTCCCGCCTCCCTTATCTTAGCTATAGCTCAAAATCCACCATGTCGTCCACTTTTACCAATCAAGTGATGCCAAGGGCTGTCAATCATAGTGCTCGTGCTCGTATATAAATTGAATGGTAAATAATTTTGAACAAATATTAGAGCTGTAATGGGCATTATCTTTTTTAAATGGTATGTATACAAAGTTCCCAAAGGTTTCGCCATGACGTGGCTCGACCATAGACTGTAAATGGACGGGTAACAGCTAGGCTAGCTAACTAACTAGAACTCTCTGAAACTACATGAAAAGTGAACGAGGTGAAAAGAATGATAATGGGAGTAATAATGGACTCAGACTTAAATTTCAATAGCCACATATCATCTGTGACATCATCAGCTTACTTCCACCTAAGAAACATTGCTAAAATTAAAAACATTGTGTCTAAAGCAGACTTGGAGATTCTTATCCACGCATTTGTCTCCAGTCGATTGGACTACTGCAATGGCTTGTTCACAGGTCTCTCTAAACAAGCGGTAAAACAGCTGCAGTACATCCAAAATGCTGCAGCTCGAGTCCTGACTAGAACCAGGAAGTACGACCACATTAGTCCGGTCCTCAGGTCTCTGCACTGGCTTCCTGTGGCTCAGAGAATAGATTTTAAAGTAGCTTTACTTGTGTACAAGTCTCTCCATGGCCTCGCACCAGGGTACATCCGCGACATGTTGGTGCCATATGAACCAACTCGGGCTCTGAGGAGCACAGGGACTGGACTTCTGTTAGTGCCAAGAGTCGGAACTAGACATGGGGAGGCTGCGTTTCAGATTCATGCAGCTAGAGTCTGGAACCGTCTTCCCGAGAATGTGAGACAGGCGTCTACTCTAGCAGTTTTTAAAACTGAACTGAAAACAGTTATTTTTAGCTGTGCATACAAGTGAATGATTTTATATTTGTTTTTATCTTTAATCTTTTTAATGCGCTATGATTATTTATGATTATTTATGATTGTAATCCATTGTGTGTTTTTAATGTTTTACGGTTTTTAACTACTTGTGTGATTTTATATATCTTGGGCTCTTAATCTGTCTTTTTATGTTTACTTAAATTCTAATGTTTGATGATTTATGCATGATGTTATATGGGTTGTGAGGCGCTTTGCGTTGCCTTGTGTAGGAAAGGCGCTCTACAAATAAACGTTGATTGATTGATTGATTGATCAGCGGTGAGTGACCCAAATATAATTTTAACCTAAATCCATAAGATCTTCTGCAATGTGTCCTAAAATGTTCTACTAATGTTAATAGTTAGTTCCGTTTCACGCATAAAAATAGCATTTTTGTCATGAAAACGTTAACAAATATTTCTGAAAACCTCCTTGCACATGTGTGAAGAATGTATATGTATAATGTATTCTCCGATTGACATTTAAATGTGTTGACTGTGTTGATTGATTGATATGTGTTATTGAGCGTAGCTTCTTTACCTGACAGTGCCACTGCTGGGATTACAGGGCAAATGAAGAGGAAAAAAGGTCCATAAGGGGACAATAATGTATACTGTATGTGTAGAAAAATCAGTGTATAGAAAAATCAATGAAGATTCAAGATTTTTTTGTCATTGTTGAAAAACAATGAAAATACAACGGGAGATTAGCAGAACAGTAACGGGACATAAGTGAGGATGTTGCAACAATGCACGACCAGGTCACAGTTATGGCAGATATGTAAAAGTGGAGGATAATGGGGGTCCGTGGGGGTGAGGAGGGGGGCAGTGTTCATTGAGCAGTCTGACAGCCTGGGGGTAAAGGCTGTTGACCATTCTGCTGGTTCAAGCAGGGAGTGACCTGTATCTCTGAGCTCAAGGGTGGAACAGTCGGTGTGCTGGATGGGAGTGGTCTCTGATGATGTTGAGACACCGGCGCAGGCAGCGGGAGGTGGAGACGTGTGAACATGTTTATGTAATGAAAGATTATTGTTTTTATTAGTATAAAATAGGGCTGGGCAATAAATCGAATTTTGGCAATTAATCAGCTTTTGAAAAAATCGAATTTGTGAAAAATGTTAAAATCGTGAAATCGAATGAAGGATATTGTGAGAGTTCCAGCAGCACATCAATCATATTTGCAATATCAGCACAGTCTGTACAAGACTTTTATAATACGTATTGAGGGAAACAAATTTGAAATAGTTTTGAAACTTGAATATTGAGCAGAAAGATCAAAACATATTTTTAAGGGCAAAGTCAGTCTTCGGTGACTTTAATAAAAATCGATTAAAAATCGAAATCGTCAAAAGCAAGAAATAAAATCGAGATTTGACTTTTTTGCCATATCGCCCAGCCCAAGTATGAAAGAACCAGTATTCATTATACAAGATCTTTGGTCCATGTTTTAAAATATGTTTAAGTAGAACATATATGTGTAAAGAGTCCACAAAGGCATCAGCCTGTTGATGCTTACTATGTACTTCACGTCTGACCATTTTTAATCGGAACAGTGTGATTGGTGGCCATGACTTATTGTCTCTTTTACAGGACTATCTGCTTCTAAGCACTTGGAAATCCTGGACACAAATGCAGCAGATCAATCAAACGTTGAGGTAAATTGATAACATTCTGGAAAGTTTGGATAAAACACTTGTATTTCAAATATTTTAAAACCTAAAACTGTGATACTGTATATACTGTATGTAGTTTATTTAAATGTAATTATGTTTATGAAATTATTTCGGTTCTAAACTGGTTCTGGACTGGTTCTAGACTGGTTCGGAGCAAGTTTGAGTTACCATAGCAACACAATGTTTACTTACAGCAGTTCACTTCTAATAACCCGCTTTAGCATGTATTAAAGATAAAACCTGTCTGAACCACTTAATTTGTTTAAAAGTCATTCAAAACTTTTTTTGGAGCCATCACAATGACTGCCTAAACCTGGGAGTTGTAGTAGTTTCAGAATTCTGGGAGTCCGAGTGTTAAACCTTTTTTATTGCAATTCTATGGTAACTTACTGGCAGCCGGGCAAATGAAAAACCTCTGAATTAAACCTTAACATTTGTCATTTGTCTATTTTTCTCAGGAGGACACAATCACAGGTATGAACTATGCAGTACTGGATCTTCCGCGGAGAAAAGTGAAGCGTTCGAACATCCAAACTGGATCCCCGTCGGAGTGCTTGTACTCAGCCCCCAGAGCCCATCGCTGACCATGTTTTCTGTGAACGAGCTGCATCGTTTCACCATTTCCTCTGACCCGCTCCATCAGCACTGTCCCACCAGCTCCCTCAGATCCTCCTCACTCCCTTTCAGACAATTCAATCTGGCGATACTCAAACAGACAAAATAGGGGTTTTATTAGAATTGTTTATTGGTTGCAATTAACTGACACTGCATAATACCAACACATACGACTAGACAATATTTGGTCATCTGCCCCTTATGGACCAATGGCTCTATGTGTTTTTTATCAATGCATTTCTTATGTTTGATTGTCTGATCTGTGTTGAAAAGGCGAATTGTTATTTTGCGATTTAGGGCTATACGAATTAAACTGAATTGAATTTAATGTATTGCAGCAGTGCAAGAAATGTGTTTAAGATTTGGCGCTTAGACCACGGCACTGGTCCGGCCGACAAGGAGAGGATGGGGAGGAAGAAGATTTTGCAAGAAGCAAAATCTGAATCTAGTGAGAGACAATGCACTTGATATTTTAACCTGTCTGTGAGTGTCCAAAAAGGCGTAATATAATTATGCTGTATTATTATTATTACTGTAACACTCATACAGTATACTATAGAAACCCCTCGCATTGTTTTTATAGTGTATTTTTCTGCTTACATCTAAATCAACAACAGCATTTATATCCATTAGAGATTTTAGTTATAGTTTCATTTGAGATGAGATTTAATAGCGATTTTATTGGTAATTAATATAGAACATTCTAAATCTATGTCCATTGAACACCACATTTCCAAAAATTAATCATGAAATGCTCTGAATGAAAAAAAAAAAGTTTTTGTAATAATAGTTTGTTACTTTGCTTTCTGGGCGTAACAAAATCTGATATAGCGGGGAAAGCTGTTGCCAGGTTCATGTTTTGGCCTTGTATAAAAATTTCCATTTTAAGCATGAAATATGGAGGGTGGTGATGGTGTGAAAATTGGTGTGAAAAGTTGTGTGCGTGTCTTTGCGTAACCAGTGCACACAATAAATACAGCGCTGAAGCTGGACTACGGAGCCTCAGTCTCCTCCGTGTCTTCTCCCGAAGCGCACTCGCTAAATTAAAGCTGGGGTACCTAATTTTCCTTTCCACTACCAGTTCATGTTGGTTGTGCCCAAAAGTAATGATGATCATGATATAGTAATAAACAGATTTAATGACATTCTGCCTCAGATAGTTTTGAAATGTCCCTCATCTGTAACAAACAATAGTTTTGGTCTGAGTCTAAACAGAAAGACAGAACGTTAATAATGTTAATGCCATTTTATGTGAATTTATTGTTGTTATAATAAACAAATACAGTACATATGTTCACTATGTAGTCATTTATCTTTCCATTCAAACAACCATTTACAGAAAAATATGGCATCAGTTTGTCAATAGTTCGAAATGCGAATAATTACGATTAATTAATTTTAAAGCTGTAAATAACTCGATTAAAAATTGAAATTGTTTGACAGCTCTAATTTCTATATAACAATTAGTCACCTCTGTTGTATATTTTAAATACAGCAAACACCGATACACTTCTATTTTCTGTCATCCATGTTTCAACATCTATAGAAATATGAAATTCTATATTTAATCATGAAATGTCTCCATAAAATGATTCTATACTAAGCGTTTTTTTTTTTTAAATAAAGTGTTCTTAGATTAATCATTAGGTGTTGGCATAAAAGGCAGTGCATTGTGGGACACAGCAGTGCTCTCTGATTGTGCTGTCATTGTGCTTTTGTAAAGTTAACTAATCTCTCTGAGTGGCCACAGTCAAAGCTATACCTCAGAGAAAGCCTGTCAACACTTTTGGGTCAGTCTCAGGTTTTTTACTATAAAACATCACTACAACTTACCACAAAGCCATAGCGCTAGCACAGACAAGAAGTAAACGAAGAACGACTCTTTGTTTAAAAGAAATGACATCACGCCTCCCCGTGCATATAGCCCTTAAGAGCTCAGAGAGTTTTGTATTTATATTCAATTTGTCCTTTTTTTGACAATACTTCCCTCTCAGTATTAATTTTAAGCCTGGGCCTGTGTGGTCACGGAGGTGGATGAAGTAAGTAAGTAATCTTTATTTATATACCGCCTTTCACAGACCAGAGTCACAAAGCGGTTTACAATTGTTATTTTTGGGCATTTGTCTCTCACTCCACACAGAGATGGGAGCGGGGTCAGTACAGGAGGTGCATGTCAGACCTATTGTGCATGTTTTTAGTGTTAGGGGAAACCGGAGTGCCCGGAGCAAACCTACGCAGACACGGGGAGAACATGCAAACTCGACTCAAAAAGGCCCTGGTCAAACCGGGATTCGAACCCAGGACCTTTTTGCTGAGAAGCGAGAGCGCTATCCACTCAGCCACCGTGCCACTGTTGTGGAGTTTCTAAGGAGTGAAATACACAATATTAAATATAAAATAAACAACAAGAGCTGTAATTCAAATCAAAGTGTGGTTTATTATCTCAGTAAATGTATACATATACAGAAAATACAACCGTGTAAACGCGTGGCAGGTCCCGGGTAGATCTGCTGAATAGTGCTCATTCTCTCTCATATTTATAGGATGGAACAAACAGAAAAGTCTATCTATGGCGTCTCTGAGTCCGAGATTAAGTGGTAGCCGTAGCCCAAACCCGCCTCTCTTCTGACGTCTTACTCCGATAGACTCTGATATTACTCTGATATTAGGAAGAATGGTCAGCCTGACCGGTGAGCATGCTCTTCTTGCCCCGATATCAAGCTAGTATCTGCCTCCACCCCGTCATTGGCCTCGCGTCTCTAGAGAACAACAGATTAGTTAGCTTGAACAGATTGACTAGCTTTGAACTTTGTCCCAGATATTCTGATTCATCATTAGATTCATTCTTAAGTTAAATTGATTTATAATCCCACCGCCCATGAAGAAACAGGGATAGTAAGCTGATAGCAAAAGGGTTCACTCAAACAACTGTAGCATATATTCGATGCTTTAACTCACCTGCTGAAGTCTTCTGTAAACCTCATGAATTTTTTCAAACAAAGCATGTTAACATATCCTGGTTAAAAAATTTGAATAAATTCCTTATATTTCTATAGTGAATACGACATAATGACAGAGAGAAATAGCTGATGAAAGATCTTTTTCAACTCGGTCTGTCATTATGATTAATACTAATACATTATTAATTTACTGAAAAGGAGCACTTCATAGACTCCTTTCTTGTCACAAAGGGTCAGTTAAGCAGCAGGTGGAGAGGTATCAACCAATCACTGCAATTTCCGCTTTTGAAAGCTTCAGACACACATGTAGGCGTGAGAAGGAACAGACGAGATCATGTTGGCAACACTCTTTGCGTTCCTCTTTGTGAGCAGCTTGTGTGAGTAAAACTAAAATCAATTGGAACATAATAAATGGAACATATGAAACAGATGTAATATTGCAGATTTATTATGTGTGTTACAGGTCCAAGTGCAGAGGAGAAAATCCCAGTAACAGTGGTCCAGCCCGGCGACGATGTCACCCTTACATGTTCATTAAAGTCTACACATGTTCTCTGGTATAAACAAGCTCTGGGAGAAATGATGCAGTTAGTTGCTTCTAGTAATTATGATTCTATAACTATGGAACCAGTATTTAAAGATCGTTTTAACATCATCACAGTAACCAATCAGCCAGGTTTAACAATAGCAAACATCAGAAAAGAAGATGAAGCCATCTTCCATTGCATATCGACTGAAAGATATAGGATGACCTTTGGCAACAGCAGCTTCTTGGTTGTTCACGGTAAATTCAGATTATGTGAATGATGCTGAGTCCGTCCTGACACTGCTCTCTGGCACAGATGGAGAATCCTCTCAGAGCTGTCCTCAGGTGAGACAGAGTCCGCCCTCAGCTTCAGTGGCCCCAGGAGGCTCCGTGTCTCTGCACTGCTCACTCTGGGATCAACACAAGAGTCTCCTGCAGTGTCCGCCGCAGCACAGCGTGCACTGGTTCAGAGCTGGATCTCTGAAGCCTCACACTGGATTCACGGTCAGCGTCACCAACAGCAGCTGTGTCTTGTTATGGCCAGATTCCCGGCACAAGATATTCTAATCATTTAGGTCAATACATGCGTCTTCTTTCCCATGCGTCTGAAACCCGCTTCCCATCACTGTTTGAAACATTAAGACAAAGGCTGCTTGTCCACGGTCCTCTTTCCCATAACCTTCGCCACCACCTGCATGGGCCTATCTCAAATGTTCTTACAGCGTGTTCCTTGTTATCAAATTCGAAGGTCCTTTTCTGCGCTTAATGTATCTCTCTCAAACTTTCCCGTCTGCAGCTGCGTATGACTCATCTCTCTTGTGACGATTGTCCATTGTTTTGTCTGACACACCTCCAGTATAAGATCATAAGACATGTTTGTTGGAGAGAACAGACAGACGCGGCATCGCTCCAGGTCCCGCTTCTGTTTGACTCTTTTCTGCGCAGAAAATGTCATTTTTGTACTCATCACTTCTGTGAATAAAACTGCACCAAAGGACAAGTTTGTTTCCTCTCGGTTTCATTCATTTGAGGCAATAGAATTTCCATAACAGTCTACAGCAGGGGTGTCATTCATACGGCCCGCGGGCCGGAACCGGCCCGCCAAGAGATTTGACACGGCCCGCGGCTCATTTATGTAAAAATATAATAATAATACATTTTAAAAAGCCGCTCCGCAACGCGACGCGACGCAAGGCTCCGCAACGCAAGGCTCCGCGACGCGACGCCGCAGCGCCGCGCTCAGGGGTGAGTCCAGTGCGTCTGTAGTGGCTCCACCAGAGCGGTGCTGAAGGAATAACATCTTAAACTACAAGACTCGGCGAAAAATACGGCACTTTGAGCGGAGAATTGAGAAAACAGAAGACAAACATGTCTGGCCCTGAAGACACAGTAGTCTGTTTGTGCCCAGAGCGAGAGGTTAGTTCTGCTGCTGTAAAGGGAAGCTACCTGTGCTAACAACATTAGCATTAGCATCACAGCCGCACAGTGAGAGAGAGTTTGTTAAAACTCTCACAGGCTGCAGACATGGTCTGAGAAACCACTCGCTTTTACCAACATGTTGCCATCGATAAGAGACTGATGTTACTGATGTCACATATTCATTTGTGGTGTTACTGAAACTATCAGAGGAGTTTTGAGCGCTGCTGCTGGTGCTGCTGCTGGTTCTGCTGTTGTTGCTGGTGTGTTGGACAGTGTGGACTGGTACCGATGGTAAAAACAGGTGTAGTTACAAAGCTGCAAATGGAGGTGATGATTTTTGGACATTTGACTGTATTTTACACAGAGACACTGCTGCAGTCGTTAAGAATGGATCACGTTATGGAAGTTGTTTTATTCATTTCAAGTGAATCATGGTCAGTTTGATGCTTTCTCTCTGATAATAACATAACCATGGACCTTACCACACTGAAGATGGTTAATGTGATAATAACATAACCATGGACCTGACCACACTGAAGATGGTTAATGTGATAATAACATAACCATGGACCTGACCACACTGAAGATGGTTAATGTGACAATAACATAACCATGGACCTTACCACACTGAAGGTGGTTAAGCTGAGGTGCTGTGTTAAAGTGCTTTTTTCTATCTACCTACTTTACCTTTGTGAGCAAGTTTTCTCTGTAATGAGCCTTAAAACAAAGCTAACATACAAATATTAATATACATATTGTGAAATACCATTTTCAATGTAATATTGTAAATACATTACATTATTTGCACTATGGAAAACTCACTGTTACATTTAAGTTTGTAACAGAAAACTGAGTATTAAAGGATAGTGTTTTAAAGGAAGTTTTAAATAAATGTGTTTATGTGCTCAAAAAGTTGGACTTTGTACCGTTTTTGGATATTTTTGTAGAGCATCTCCTGGTCCGGCCCACTTGAGATCAGATTAGGTTGTATGTGGCCCCTGGACCAAAATGAGTTTGACACCCCTGGTCTACAGTCTGTCCACAACCATAGAAGACTCCTCTGAGGCTGGGACATATTACTGTGCTGTGGACACATGTGGACGCCTCCTGTTTGGGCCTGGGACCAAAGTTGAGACACGTAAGTGACCGTGTTCTAAAGTCAAGATTTGTGACTTTGACGCGCTGTACTTGTCAGTGCATTTTGTGTCGTTGTAAGTCCATCCATGACCTTGTTAACTGCTTATGAACGACATGTTTACCAGCTCCACAACATAGATTACTGTAATATTTGCGAATTCTAAACAGAGGCATAGAAACTCCCAGATGTCATGTATGCTGAGCTTGTAGCACCAGACCCAAAGACACATGGTAACTGCTGCTGTAGGTGCCATAAAAGAGCAGTGGAAAAAAGGGTGTGAATACCTATGGTTTTTTATGTTGTTGTGGTGTTTTATTTCAAAACAATTGGAAAAGACAAAGTATCACATATCAAGACATTCTAAATGGACTAAGTGTCATTAAATATGGAATACCTTAGTGCGATGTGATGTCAGCTGCTCCCTCAGAGCCTGTGGTGGGGGTCCTGACGGTGCTGCTGTGTGGCTGTGTGCTCCTCCTCTTCATCGTCGTCCTCCTCATTGTCCTGTGTGTGAGGATGAAGAGAGCCTCAGTCTGTGCTCACTGCTCAGGTACCACAGTCATCCATCTCAGAGTTTATTCCACTGGACTCAGGTGTAATGTTGTGGCATGTCTGAACTCACAGCTTCTTCTGGTTCTGTTGCTGGTCCAGACTTTGACGCGCCAGAGAATATGGTATGTGCTGACAACATATGACATAGTTTTAGGAGAACAGTAAAATGCATGTATATATGTGTTGCAGATATTTCAGATAATTAAATCTCCACATTTTCAGGGCACAAGTGCAGATCTCCACTACGCAGGGCTGAATTTCTCCTCCAGAAAAATGAAGCTGAGCAGCAAGACACGAGGAGAAGAGTGTGTCTACTCCTCAGTGAGAGAAGAGCAGCTCAGATGAACTTCTGCTCGAAGAGATCCAGGATTTGCAGGGCTGTTAAACTGTTTTTAGAAAGGGCTGGTGTGGCCGGCAGGTGTTCATTCCAACCAAGTGTAGTGTGGAGTCTGGCATGCACATGCTTGGTTGGAATGAAAACCTGCAGCCACACCAGCCCTTTGAGGACCTGTTTGACACATTATAATAAACATAATTGTAACTTCTTTCACTGTTTACTGTAACTCCCTTTCAAACTAAACATATGAAATATTAACACAAAAATGTGCCAAAATATTGTATGAACACCTTCTGAATTGGGCCAATTCCAGCAGTTAAAAATAGCTTCATATACATTTGCGGATGAGAGACTACACTCAACCAGCAGAGTGTCAGAAATGTCAAAGCTTTTGCTGATGTTGTTTGATGTTTCTTCCAACTTTGAACCATGCAGTTATTTAGGGGAGGGGAGGCCCTCAGCGACTATTTTTAGTCAATCTGTTTTCAGCGCTGAGTCACAGACACAGCAAGCCCACCCTGTGAAGACAATATGTGGTTTGCTTGTTCTTCGCACAGATGCGGAAATTGTGGCTTCGATGGAAAACCTTCTGCATGCAACCATTTGAACACAACATGTATTTCAGTGTTTCATTGTTTAAGAAGTAGTGGAATAGATAGCAGTTTTTGTTTAATCATTAGTTGTTGTTGCTAAAAGCATTACAACAAGAAAAGTCCTTTAATGTAGTTTTGATTTAGTCTCACACATAGACTGCTCATGTAGATGGACAATGCTAATGGAGCCCAATAGTAGAGTGCTCATGTACAGTTTTGCACAAACTCGCTCTTGCTCCCATTCACTTACTTTGAAATGCAAACTCCTCTATCTCAGTACCTGTGGTTGGCACTCTCTGTGATCCTGGTGTTTATATTGTGATGTTGTCTTTGTAAATCCAAATAGATAGGTAGATACTTTTTTGTTCCCTGTATGAGAAATTCAGGTGTCCAGTAGCAGCAGAAACACATCCTTAAAAACTAATAGATAATTCTAAAAGTAGCTACTATTAGTATTAAAATGCAACAGCACTTTAGGTCACAGCAGCAGAGGTGGTGTGGCTGCTTGGTTCTGATTATTTAATCTACTCTAGTCCAAAGTGAAATGCTGAATGCTCTATTAGCATTTTCCAAAATAAATTGCATTCCTCCAGTGGATTTGCCTGATCCGCTTGGTTCGCTCTATGAATATTCCCCGCTCCGGTCTGGACCAGTGCAGGAACAATTTAAGGATTGACCAATCAGTTGCCCTCATTCATGGGGGGAAATCCATCTTTCCTTGGAAGCCACCTTAGCTCCTGTGACAGTGTGAAGCTAACGCCATCAGAACAAATGCCCATAAAAGGAAATTGGCTTCAGATAGCTTATGTTCAAATCAGCCTCTGCCGCATTCAGCGAACAATATGGTTTTATCCAGTGATGGACAAGCTAAAACAGTCATAATACAAAGTCAAAATAATTACATAGATACAGGAAACCAAAGGAGACAGAGCAAAACACAATGAGAGAGACACAACAAAGACAAAGCAGACATTAAAATACAGCATGTGAAGTTTAAAACTAACAGTTAAAAGCTGTTCGATAAAAGTGGGTTTTAAGAAGTGATTTAAAAGAGGATACTGATGGTGCTAGCCTTATCTCCTCGGGCAGGTCGTTCCAAAGCTGAGGAGCCCGGACAGAGAAGGCTCGGTCACCTTTCGTCCGGAGTCTCGACCTTAGAACGGTCAACAGGGACCTGCCCGAGGATCTAAGGCTGCGGGGGGCTCGTAGGGAGTTACAAGTTCATAAATATAGCTGGGTGCCAGACCTAAACGAGCTTTAAAAGTAATCAGTAAAATCTTACAATCAATTCTAAAACGCACAGGGAGCCAGTGGAGAGACGCTAAAACAGGGGTGATGTGCTCCCTTCTGTTAAAACCAGTGAGAAGTCTGGCTGCTGCGTTCTGAACCAGTTGGAGGCGGGAGAGGGATTTAGCGTCGAGACCGGAGAGGAGGGAGTTGCAGTAATTGAGGCGGGAGAAGATGAGGGCGTTGACGACTTTATGGAGATCGGGAGGAGTGAGAATGTTTTTAATCTTTGAGATTGTGCGGAGGTGAAAGAAGCAGGATTGGGTGTTTTTTTTTTATGTGGGAGCGGAAGGTGAGGTGAGAATCAAAAATGGCACTGAGTTTACGGGCGGAAGAAGTGATGTTTGAGGATAGGGGGCCAAGGTGGGTTTGGATGTGGGATATAGATGGAGGGGGGTTGATGAGGAGGACTTCTGATTTGGATGAGTTGAGCTGTAAAAACTTGTGGGCCATCAAACTGTTCACCTCATTAAAACAGTCGACCACAGCAGCCAGACTTCCAGGGTCGTTGTGTGATGAAGTTGTGACGGATGAAGGATTTATTGTTGATGGATCTGATGATTAAAAGCCCAAAGATTGTGGGTGAAGGGTCCAGAGTGGGGGCTGTAAAGGAGCAAAGGGGAACCAGGATGGGACAGGGGAGGGTGAGTTCCCTGGAGGAGGTCCTGTGGGGTCGGGGTCTGGAGATGACAGGGATTGACTGAGGGGGAGAGCAGGGGCTGGGTCGAAGACAAGGGGGAGAGGAAGTGGTGTGAGGGGTGAGGGGGCAGATAGTCAGTTGAAGGTGGTGTGGGACTGTACTGAGTGGATGATGTTGGATGTGAGGAAACGATTACCAAGGGGGTTGATATGGAGTCCATCGGGTCTGAAGAAGGAGGTGCGGTGCCAGAATAAATTAGGATTGTCAATAAAACCAATGTGTGGAGGGTTGAAGAGTATTTGAGCCAGGTGTGTAGAACTAGTAACCTGCTAAAACTTTCCTCCCCTCGGTTTAGAGTGGGTAGAAGGCCGGAGATAAAAACAGATTTTCCTGAAAGGTTAAAAAGATCTTTAAAATGGAGTTTTGTGGTTTCTGAACGGCGGGATGAAGTGTCACTGGAACCAATGTGAATGATAAGACGGGTTATTGTAGATGGGGCGTTTTTAAGCAGTCCAGGAAGTTTGTCCAGCAGAGTGGTGACAGTGGCTCCAGGGAAACAGTGAGTGGAAGCATAGCCCAAAACACAAGAAGGCCCTTTGCAATTGTAAATAAAATAAATTGAGAAATTATAGGAATAAGCCATTACAAATTAACATGTATTTCATTAGAAATGTTTTTTAACTGTTGTTTATAACAATATCCCAGTATACATGTAACAAATGTGAATCCGAGCCATTTAATGACTCTATTTAAGCAAGAATACCCTCTGAAATTGAAAAGAAAAAACATACATATAAGTTTACAAATGAACTGTGCTAAGAACGATGTCTGACCAGTTTAGGAAAACAATCGTAACAACCATCATACAGCCTTATCATCAGTCACAGAGGAACTTTCTCTGGGATTACAAAGTAGGCTCTGAAAACATGTGTCTCCTCCGAGACCGCGGCTCCTGGGCTCTCTGCCGTCCTGTCTCCCTCCAGCAGCGTGAGCGCATGTGTGTGTGACCGCGAAACTTGATTGTTTTGGCTGCGGGAAAAGGGTGTAATATATGAACATCAGAAATGTCCGTGAGAAAATAGCTTTGGAGGACGCTACCGCGCTACTTGCTCAACAAAATAGCTTAGCTACAGAAAAGTTACTTGGTTTTGTAAATAGTGACGCTACCCTCAAGCTACTGAAAAATGCAGTTAAGCTAGTAGCGACGCTACTGCCCATCACAGTCCTCCTGATCTACGGTCTATGGTCTCACATTTACAATTCCAATTATGTGCCTGTCTAATAATCTACTAATCTCAGATGCCTAGGTTTTTATCCTGGGAATCTAGGTCTTTTGTAAAATATTGGATGTTATTACATTATTATTGTATTCCAATGCTTCTACTTCATTTCCTGACGAGCGCTACTGAAGGTGATAGAAGCTGTCTGGACTTGAGTTGAGGCAACTCCCAATCCCCATCTTCCTCTTGATTTTCATCCAAATCATCTGTTACTTCTTTTTGGCTTTGGGTATGAGGACGACGTGGTGGGTAAACTGATGGAACTTCCAAATCCTCATCAGCCGGCAGGAACAGAATTGATCATGAGGCAGCGTACGAAATCGGCCCATCCCTGTTCTTGACATACAGTGTACACAGGTGTATGTTTGCCACAAAGTCAGATATTGCGGACAAGTACTCTGTCACCTTCCTCCAGACTGAAGGGAGTCACTCTCTTGTTAAAACAAATTTTAATTCTCAAACCTGATTTGGACGCATTCTTGGCCACAATGTTGAAACATCCTTTGAGTCCGGATCGGTCGATGTAGACTCAGGCCCCGACTCCACCGGGCGCATAAAACGGACGACAGATCCGTCCAAACGTGTCCGTTTCATCTCCGTCTCCATTATCTCCATGAAGGTGAATGGAAGTGGCTCAACTGCCTCCAACATGCGTCCGTCCGGAACTTTTGGTTAGAACGCTGCATGGTCACTACCCATACACTGGCTGTATAGTGGCTCCAATGTGCTCGTGTTGATTAATACTGGGGATGGGGAATCCAGTCGAACATCCGGAACAACAAGTGACATCAAAATCCGCCCCCAGGAACTCCCTTGGATACCATCATCTCCACATATCCTAGATAAGGATAAGGAACACCCTGTCCTGCAGCCCCCTAAATGCGTAATAGATCTGAGAAGTACTGGTAAAATGAAACTGAAATGGTTGTAACTTGTGACCCTAGTGTCAAAGAGGAAATTACATTCATGATTTTTAGGGTGGCTGTGCAGTGGGAACTGATTTGACATTTTAGTAACCAGGAAGGGACAGTCTTTTTGGGGTCTGATTAATTCAGAAACTCTGGGTTTGGCTTATACAAGATGTGCTCAACTACATAGCTTTGAATTTGAGGAGGATTCTGTTCCTGTTGCGCCATCGCTGGCAGTGAAGGGCTTTGTGCATTTGAGAAAGTGGGATTGGGCTGGTTTCCATTGAGGTTCCTAGCGCCACCAGCAGGAGCAACTTGTAGATCAGCAGTGGCAGCTGAGGGTGTCTATTGGCAAGAGGTGGTGGTAATTCCCCCTTGATGTCCTCCAAACTCTTCGTCCGTCATACTGCGGAGCCTGTTGAACCTTCGACCAAGCAGAGGTATCCTCTAACCCAAGAACGAAAAATCTTTCCCCGTTTGTTTCGAGTACATAAGCGTTTGCGAAGAGAGGCAGGAGAGGCTTCATAGAAAACCGGAGGATTTAAAGTTCAGGATGACAAGGGACACTAAAATCTCCACAAAATCCGACCTTCATGAAAGGACTGGTGTACCGCAGGCGCCCCCTGTGCCCTTTGGTAGGACAGCTATAAGCTAGTAGTACCCTATCCAGATATTATAATAGATCCATGGCCCGTCCTCAGCTCACTTCGGGATCAACACAAGAGTCTCCTGCAGTGTCCGCCGCAGCACAGCGTGCACTGGTTCAGAGCTGGATCTCTGAAGCCTCACACTGGATTCACGGTCAGCGTCACCAACAGCAGCTGTGTCTACAGTCTGTCCACAACCATAGAAGACTCCTCTGAGGCTGGGACGTACTACTGTGCTGTGGACACCTTATGTTTGGACCTGGGACCAAATTGGAGACTGACTTTAAGAATCAGTTTCACTTTTGTGAGAAATGTGTTTGTTTAACATCACAACAGTAGTTATTTTAGGATTTTACCAAACCTTCGACTTGCCCACACAGATTAGAGAATCAAACAGTTCAAACTCAAGAAATGTAATGGTAAAAGTACAAATGTGGTCGGGGGGAGGGGTCATGGGCCGGCGGGATTGTTTTTAACCAAACTGTAAAGCACTTTGTGTTGTATCTTTTGTATGAAAAGCGCTTTATAAATAAAATTTGATTGGACATTGGTCTCTGTCCTTAAGGGACAGAGACCAATGTCCATAGATGATAATAAATGTTTTTGAATGTTGCAAGTCCTGGATCATCACCACTGCCCTTAGACCCTCCAGGGACAGTGTCTTTCAAACATATGTAAACAAATAAAATATGCCAAATTACAACATGAACACCTTCTGAGATGAGTCAATCCCAGCCTTTAAAAATAGTTGCAAAACGAGCTTGGGCTTGAGAGTAGCTCGGCAAGTCACTTAGCCCCACTCTGCCTGAAGCCCCCGATGAAAGACCAAGGCTGTGTCATCACTGACAGAGCAGCCGTCCTCCTGTGGATCCACCACCTGCAGGAGGATCAGCGAGGGACTGGTGCTATGAGCATTGGGTGCAGCTCTGATTGCCACCTCCCCAACCCAGAAGTGGAATAATAAAGGGGATGTTGATGAATGAATGAATGGATTAATACATTAATTCATGCAAAATGAGCTGAAAAGACATATCACTTTCATTTGCAGAACCTGTAAAAACAACAAACAGACTACGCTGCAGATCAAATGTGAACAAGTAGCACATATATTGAGGCTGTAAGCTCCAAACAGTGGGGTTTTCTGGGGGTTGGTCAGATAGTTTCAGCGTCTGAGGGTAAACTGGTGGAAAGATTTTCATGCATCAGCCCTCAGCAACACTCTAACATTCGAAACAGTAAAGTGCGTGAGCTTATTGAGTGTGGGTGGATTTTGGTGGTCTCACTTGATGTGTGAAAATATGTGTTGATATGAATTTGGTTTGAGACAGTGGTTGATCTCACCCTGACTGAGTAAATGTTTAACAGATTACATGCACAAACAGTCCACACAATAGTCCTTAAAAACTTCATTTTAATTAAGGAGATATATTCTGCAAAATCTTCACTTTAGGGACTCAAAATTCTTCACCAATGACGACGTTTTTGACAAACATGATGGTACATTAATGACAAGCATCACCAACTCAAACAAATGTAAAATACAACATGAAAACACATGGTCTTTCAATATCAATATTATAATGTTATTCAAAATCAGAGATTAGCAGAAGAAGTGTGGTCAGAAGTGACCTCGAGTGTGGTGGAGGGGGAGGAGAGGAGGGATGTGAGGTGCGTGTTGGAGATGCTGCTGTGTTCTGAACAATGCTTACTATTTAAATGTACCTCTTTAGACAAATTGATGGTGGTTTATTTATGTTTTTCTGGATCCACACATTCAGAAGCGCTTGGATGTTATAGAAGTTTAAGTTTATTTAAGAAAATCTCCTTGAGATACACACACTGAAAGTACATACACAACAATAAGAAAAGATAATTGCATAAACACACACAAAAACAAAGAATGAAAAAATACTCCTTCCCTCTGCTTGAATTAAGCTTTTAGGAAGAGACAAAGTAAAATTTAACAATAATGACACACAAACAGAATACAGAACATTAGTGACAAGGAGTTTTAAGGAACCTAAATAACTAAACCGTAAATGAACCAAAAGACATAACTGATCGTATGAATGTGGGGAGTTTATTCCAGTCTTAACAGTTATAACATGTAACGGGGAAGTCTGGGCTAAAGTGGAAGGAAACAGATAGAAGCATAAACAAAGCAGGGTTGAAGTAGCCATGGGGCCTCCAAGCAGAGGGTTGTGGCTCTGTGAGAACTTTGCTTTTACAGTTTGTCTCTGACGTCTGAGTAGAGAACATGTTCCTCTGCCTTCACTGCTCTGCGCTGGGAGCGGTCAGCTGTGCTCTTGTTGCACTTGGGGTCAGAGTAAATCACCTCAGCCTCTCTCTACAAAAGAATATAGTGGTAAATATTCTGCATGTTGGTTATCGTCGTAAAGTATGTCTTACCAACGACATTGTTTGTCCATCACCGACTCTTTCGTCACCAATATGTTCGACTATGAAATAAACAGTTAGAACACAATGCATGACCTTTGATTAAAACAATGGGAGCTCAAATTACCATGGAAACAGAGGCCATTTCTCTTGATGAAACAAATGAGGACGATTATACACATGACACTGACGGCCAGAGCGACACTGAGGATAATGACAATCTTCCTTAATACAGACAATTCGTCTGATTCTGCTTCTGTAATAACAATTCATGCTTTTTGAGTGTGACAAATTGCAGAATACACAAAACACAAAACAGTTAAATTACCTTTGACAATGACTTTGGTTGCGTTTCCGAAGAGAACACGTCCGCATGCGGCCACAGCACAGTGGAGGGAGCCGGAGTCAGAGGCGTTCAAGGTTTTGGAGAAAGTGTAGAAACATGTTTGAGGAGCAGGACTGCTGTCACACTGAGCAGAGCTGTTCTTCTCAGTCCAGACCAAACCATAGTCCGGTCCAGATCCAAACCACCAAACCATGTGCTCCTCAAAACACTGAGCATCCATCTGGACCGAACACTCAACGTTCACCGAGTCTCCAGAATCCACAGGACTCAGCACTTTCATCTCTGAGTCTGAGCCTGAAGAGAAAAGTCTGCAGTGAGTATCTCAACAATGTCTAACTATGAAAGTGGCTTACCCTTAATCTTTAGAAATATTCCAAATACTAATTTCATATCAAGTAGAGATACTTTCACACAGTAGTAAAATCCTGTGTCTTGAAGAGTGGACGAATGTATAATCAAATCAAAGGTTCCTTGTCCTTGTTTTGCCGTGGTGCGAGAAGTTTTAATTTCTTTATCAAAATCAAATGAGGGAGTTGATCCTAAAATATCAAATGAATTTCCCGACAAAACTCTGATCCAGTGAAATGTTGGACTATCCACCATTTCGACAGAACGTGGACAGGTCAGAGTCACTGTTTCTCCGACAGCATGAGTTCTTGTCACAAATAAAGGATTCACCAAACATTCTGTAAAACAAATGTAGGTTAAATAATAATAATCCAACAATGGTCAGGATCTGTGAATCTGTGACTTACGGACTGTTCGGACGGAAAGTGCTGCAAATACCACGGACCACATGATCTTGGTGACGACCTGTTTTCATGAAGTGATAATAAAATGGTGTCTCTCTCATTATTATATTGACATCAAAGGGAGGAGCTCTTTCTGATTGGTTTGTTCTCAGCTTCATATAGTCACAGTGGAAAATCTTTGGTGCCAACTTGTTTCTTTGAAGGGTGAAGGGCTTCCCTCCTCCTCGTCTGCACTCAAGTCTACTGTCTGTCTACATATATAAATATACAAATGCTGTACATGAAAATCTGTGAGCTTTTTCAAGTCAATTGGCTCCAAAGTTCTAGTAACCTGTTTGAACAAGATGATGAGTCCCAAATCTTAAAATATGATAATAATTAATTACATAAAGATAATATAGCGCTTTTGAGGACAATCAAAGACACTTCACACATCATAATTCATTCACTCCATACACAGTGGTGATAAAATACTATTGTAGCCACAGTTGCCCTGGGGCACTCTGACAGAAGCAAGGCAACCAAAATGTGGCCCTCCGACCACCACCAACCATTCACACACACACCAGACTCATTCTAGGCAATGTGGGTGAAGTGTCTTGCCTAAAAGAACAGTGACAGTTTAGCACTTTACAGCCGCAGCTGCCCCACTGTGACACCTGATGTTCTCATAGGTCTCCCATCACAGTACTAACCAGGCCCTGCCCTGCACAGTTTCACAGGCCTGAAGGGATCTGGCCTTCGCATGTCTTTTTTTAATTTTTACTCGTTACGCCAAAGACAGAGCTCTTTCCTCATTCCTACTGTTCTGTAACTGGTGCAACACTGACATTTCCCCACTGTGGGACAAATAAAGGATCTCTTAATCTTAATTTCTTAATAAGTCTGGTAATAGCTCTTCTGACTCTACAATGACACCTCTGATTAGAGTGGACGAGTCCAAGATAAGTTTGTTGCACAAACTTCTGGAAAGAAAAAAAGTTCATGATGACAAAGAAGACTGCAATCCCTCACAAGCCACTCTTTGAGAAAACTGTTCCCTGTGAAATGAGGACGAGCTGTTTCTGTTAACATCCAGGTCTATGGGAAAGTGTCCTGTGACGCCCTGGTGAATACAGGCTGCAATGATGTGGACGGCCTACCTCCATTCAGAGGAAGCCGTGTGGAGGAGACTGCTGAGTAAAGCAGATAGAAGGCAGGAGGCGGGTCCAGGTGAACAGAAGGATGTACGGCCTGTTTGGAGTAAAGAGACGACTTTAGCCAGGCCTCTGCACCGTAGAGTTGGTGTTTAACCCATATCAGACCATTCTTCTTTTGAAATGGGACGTTATAGTGAGAGTTAACACCAAAGGCACTTTTTTAAACTCAAAATGTCATTAGACCAAAATAAACTAAACTAACTGAACTTCGTGGTATTATTTTGAGATTTAAGTACATATCACCTGTCGTTAAAAATAGGACATTTGGGTCATAAATAGTATCATGCCTGTCCTCTTCATGACACAGTCTTCAGAGGACAGGTGTGCAGTAGTAACATGTGACATCACCTCCCTACACTTTTGACCCTGCAGATAGGTTGCTTGAAAGTAACGGAGAGACAGCAACTTCTGTGAAGAAAACAGAGTTCACTTTTGCATGTGCAGACTAACTGACTGAGCACAGAACTGATCAGAACACCGGATTTGTCATGCTAATTTTTTTGTACTTTCAAGATGTTAGAAAATTAAAATAGATTAATTCAGGTCCATTTTAAATTCAATATCTGATGGAACAAATAATCCGTCTTTTTTTCATCAAATTTCACAGTGCATTGAAGTGCTTAGTAAAAAAAACATATTGAATAATTCAAAGGCAAATATGTCATTTTGAAATTTTAATCACATTGAAATATGTAAACTGTGACTTTTTAGTAACTGAAATGCAAATACAAAAGTATTGAAACATGATTTTCAGGGTAAACTATTTCAAATGGAAAAACTCAAGCGAATTTACAGGAGCACTACACTGTAAAAAAAAAAAAATTATTTTTACGGAAAAATACCGGCAGCTGTGGTTGCCAAAACACTACCGTTAAATTACGGTACAACATTACCTTCATTTAACAGTGATACAGTTGATTTCACAGTTAAATTATGTGTTTGATACAGCATTTAACCGCTAAAAAAAGAGTCGCGGAATTTTAAAAAAAACAATGTTTAACATGAAAATATACATGGAAATTTGTATTTTCTTCTGGTTTAACACCATCATTTTTAAATGTAACCACTTTGTTTCCTACGGTAAATTACTGAATTAGTTGAGGTACTACCGTTAAAAAAAAAGTTGTTAATTGCTACCATGAAAAGTATTAACATCCCAAAAAACGTTATTTTACATGAAAAAATATCAAATTTGATGGGTCAACTCTTTATTGACAATTTGCAGTGTTGTAAATATCAACTCGAAATAAACAACATATCAAAGAATGAGAAGTACATTGGGTAAATGCTCATATGTTTACTTTCAGTGTCCAAACTTCAAAACCAAATGTTTTTGGCCAGGAAACCTTTTGTGGAACATTGCTAATCACAAGGTGGCATCAGTGAACATAGTGTATTATTAGAGCATCAAAATAAAAATCATCCCTAAAAAAGGAACTGAAGTGCAAAAGTTGCAAAATAACACATTTTCTGTATGACTGAATCAAATCCTAAAAAGGGGAGCAAAAGTGCCAAATCTAGCTGAACTAAAGTTTACTTACAATGTCCAGCATACACATTTTTTATCATCCCTCATCACTAGAAGGTCCACTCAGGGTCAGCAAGGTCAGTGATCAAAGTGAAGACTCTGGGATTGACTGCATACACCTTTTTCTTCCACTCGACTTTGGTGCCTCTCTCAGGATTAATAGGAAACAAACACCTTTATGAGAGAGAGAGAATTTACCTCAGGTAGGATAACAAATACCTTGCATTTTGTGATATTTTAAAGAGTAAGACATTTTACCTTTGGAGGAACTCCAGTGTAGATCATAGTTCCACTGTGTAGTGTATGTTGAAGCAGTAGTAACTGGCAAACATCAGGCAAATAGCAGAGGTAAAGGAAATGATGTGGTCATTGACAATCTCTTGGTCAATGCTCAACATAAACGTCTCAGCAGCGAAGCAGGATGGTCCTAACAATGAATCCAAAATAGACAAAAGAAATTCGATGAGTCATACGACTGACAGAACTTATCAGGTACATTATTAGTCAGTGTCTCAAATTGAGCTGTGAGCTACAAATGAATGTTAGTATAGCAATGAAAGCTTGCAGGTTTGCTTTAGTGAACTTACCACACACAATGAGGCAGGGTGTTGGTGGCACATTCTCCATCTGAACATCCTCAGCAAGGCTGGTCTTATCCATGAACTGTAGGAGATGCTCTTCCTTCTCAGCAAAATGAGCCAGCAAGAGCACCACCATCTCGATGACCTCGTCAATGACATGCTGAGGACGGAGTTGGAGTGAATGAGTCTGCGAAAGCACAACAAAAAGATATTTTTTGAAATTATTACAACATATTCATTAACTTTATAACAGAATTGCATGTTGATACATGTACAAGTCAAAAGTAAAGGAGAATTCCAGTGTAAAATCTTTTTTTTTTTTTACATGTTTTGTATTACCATGCGCACACGTCAGGGTCATGGATCTTCCCTGTCAATAACAGAGGCATTAGATGATGTGCTATTTTTAATATTATGCCTGAAAATGCTTTGAACGCATTGCTGTAAGGCATGTTTGAACGTTGGAGAAAAAATGCATATTCACTGTTTGCAAAACCCTTTTGCTTGCAGAACGTGAATTCAGAAGTTTGAAACTTTACTCTCCCTTACCGGCCATCTTTGACGTTACCCAGAACCATAAATGTAAACCAACTGACCTACTGTTTTTGACGGAAGGCGGTGTGTAGTCTACACATTTCAACAATACCACAACTTTCTGAACAGAAAAGGATGTATTTCAACGTCACAACGATTTTACACTGAATTCTCCTTTAAAGTACTTAACAGAAAAGTGTGCAGTGTTGTAGTGTCAATGCTTTACACTCACGGTTTGGGGCCCAGGCAGACACCAATCTTCTGGCTTGTATGGGTTTTAATACTGGCAGAAAGTCTCCTTCTGTAATGTACTGTAAATCTTCTGTCTTTGCTGCACCAAGTGCGTTCAAAGTATCTTCATCTGACTTGACCACTTGATCAGGCAAATCAGGAAACACAGCTAGAACAGCATAGGTCATCCTCTGTGATTCAGCCATATCTGAAAGACACATAAGAGAGAAAGTGTTCAATAATGGTTTTTTGATTTAGTGTGACAAGAGACAACTTGGGATCCAATGTTTAAGTAATGGTGTAAAGGCCACATGTCAATCAGTTCACCAACATGTTTGTGGTGGCGAAAAAAGTGCGACGTTAAAGCTGTGTAGCCTGAAAACCCCTGCTTATCAACACAATGAACACATTTAAATATAATTCGGGGTTCATTGCGGTGCAATCTGCAATGCAAGACATATGCTTTAACAGAGTTAACATTTGCTCCACATATGGTACAAGAATACATCTTCCGTAAAATATTCTCCACTAGTGATGGGATAGCCTGGCCATATCCATCCGTACACGCCGCTCAATCATCATTTCACTGCATGTAGCGTCTGGGTCTGGTCCCTGTGTTATTACAATCGGTCGTATTTCGACCGGCTACTCAGAGAGCGCGTTGTAGGTCGGTGCCGGTGACGTAGCAAATGTCATCGCTGGTCAAGACTTCCCACGGGCTCCGTTAGCACCAAAGGAGTTGGCTAAAGCTAGGCTAAAAGCTAAATGCTAACAACACACTCGGGCGCATTACATACGTCACAGTAAACTCAGATCCAATTGTTTCAATCTGCAAAAGGAGTTAACCCCTCCCACCTGTTAACGGAGTCAATGGAGCAAATCCAGACTTTAGTATGAAATGAAATTTGTACTATGAGGTGGTACAACCAGGCTAGTGATGGGACATAAGGCCGCTCACTTTTTATGCTCCTGTAGCCGCCTCTTCCCTCAAAGACGCCGCGCCCCTTTTCTCTTCTATGACCCGAGAGTGTGCTGGCGCTGGGAGCGTTCGGGCACTCTCTTGCCTTTTCCTCTGCTTCCCCGCAGGCAGTGCTAACTCCCACGGTCGTGCGTTCACAAACTGTCCCTCTACCACTCCTCTCTCCGCCCCACACCAACAGTGACTTTGTTTTTGCTAAATAAGCATGCACAACTAAAGTGATTTCCCTTCCCAGAGATGAATCAAATATATATCGTTTACTGTAAAGACAAAAGAGCCGGATCTTTCACGACCGAACCATATGCTCTTAACCCACACGAACTGCGTGATTAGCTAACCAGGGACTTGGCTTAGCTATATCCAAAAACAGTCAGACAAGTTTAAAGGTTGCACATAATACACGCTTCACGTAACCACATAAGCATGTATTACACTGTCCAGATTTGTACCAGCAGTAAAACTCTAATGAAGTTAGCCGTAAAGCTACAACAGTATTAGCTAGCGTGCTAGTGGTTTACACTGCAACCCTCTTGACAGACCTAGAATTTCCATTTACTTACCAATCACTTAGAATATTCCGCTTCTGGATGAGGTGGTCAATCCATGAAATCCAGCTCGACGATAAAGCACCTCGGTGAACAATGACGACGAGTAAAACAAGCAAGTGCCGGTCTGAAGAAGTTTGGTTTTACGCGGTGACGAGAGCAGACGTTAGTCATTTGGTGAAAGTAGCACGGGTCTCATACAGCACACTGATTGGCCGGTTTGAAATTCAAAGCATTGAAAAACAGTAACTTCTATGTCAAGGCAGTACGGGTGCGCGCGCTTACTGAATGGAGACAAATTAAAGTTGGATGTAGGCAAAGAATATATATATATTTTTTATATAAAACTAAACAGGATTTAGACATGTTTAGTTTTTTTACAGGTTGTACAAGCAGAGCACACAGTCAGTCGTGTTTCTATAAAATAATGTCAAGCAATGTACAATTTTTAAACAGGAATCATACATTTCATGATGCTTTGAAAATCTTGAGTTTGGATGCTATTGGATGGTGTTTTTCTTTCTTTCTTATGAATAGACCATACTGTAAGCTTTGCTAGACCACATGTTCATTTTATAATTTAGCTTGTTAATAAACAAATAATGCATTATTTGTTTAAAAATGAAAGGAATCCTTCTTTATCTTCACAAAGAAGAGCTTAGCCTACATAATATATATGATAATAATACATCATAATAACATTCTGTTTCATATTTTCACTGTAAATTTTAAAGTACACATCTGTATATCTTTTAATTTAAAGGTAATTACCATTTATTGATTTAACGGTATTTACCAATTAATTCAGCTGGTTTTATTTTTTTTCACAGAAAAAAACTGTGTTTTCTACAAAGTAGCACTGTAAAAAATCAAAGTTATACAATTTTTCTAAATTTACAGTTATTTACTGTATTTTCCATGGCAATATACTATTTTCCATTTTACAGCCTTCGACTGTTGCAATTTGACAGTGTTTTACCGTAAATTCTACAGATTTTTTTTACAGTGTATGTAAACATTTGGCCAAAAGTGGTACTGCAGCCTCTCCCACTCTTCTTGACTCAGTTTGCCAGATATGCAGACGAATCCAGCTGAGGCCATATTATCTGAATAGACAAGAGTTTTGTCAACAACAAATCTATAACCAACACTTTTTTCACAAAGGCACCGAAAGAAATCTTATTTTATTCCTAGTTTTGTTATCTATAATTTGATAGATAACATGATTTCTAAGATTTAGGGACTGTAAAACAAATTTTGAAAATCGAATATCTCGGCTGTAATTCTGTTATCAGTTAAAGAAGTATTCGAAAAGACCATGGTTTAACAATACCTTTTGACATATTAGGTCCATCCATTTTCTTCGGCCCAGACTTCCCTATCTACACAATTCTTCCAGCTCCTTGGGGTCTCCTCCTGGGGGGGACGTGCACGGAACACCTCCCCAGCGAGGCCTTCAGGAGGCATCATTGTGGAGCAGCAGCAGCGGCTCTACTTCGAGCTCCTCCCGTGTGACTGAGCTCCTTGCCCTATCTCTAAGGGAGCGCACAGCCACTCTGTGGAGGAAGTTCATTTTGACCGAAGCTCATGGCCATGGCTGAGGGAGGGAACGAAGATTGACCGATAAATCGAGAGCTTTGCCTTTCGGCTCAGCTGCATCTTTACCACAGCGCACGCTGCACCAATCCGCCTGACAATCTCATGCTCCGTTCTTACCCCACTCAATACACAACAATTTACAATACAATACAATTTATTCTTGTATAGCCCTAAATCACGAAAGCAGTCACCTCAGAGGACTTAACAAAACCATTGAAATCACCTATGCAGATCAGAGAATCAACGGTTTAGACACAACAGTAAGGCAAGGCAAGGCAAGTTTATTTTTATAGCACAAGTCATACACAAGGCAACTCAAAGTGCTGAGCAAAACAAGAAAGCATTAAAATAATAATAAATAATCACAGTTTGAGTTTGAGTTTATTTATATAAGTGTCATGCACAAAAGTGCCTTATATGACTTATATGACACTGAACAACAACATCTGATGGCTACAGACCATTAACAGACCATATACAGACATGAAAAACAGAAAAAGATTTACAATTTGGTGCATTATCCAGGGTACAGAATCTGTTGTCTCCTCTCCCAGGCTTTAGCAACAAAAGAAGCAAAGGCAAAAACTTCATGGCAATACATCCAGTTCATAATTTCTCCCTCAGGCCACCAAAAAACCTCTGGGTTAGAAGCATTCACTTTTTCAAATAAAATGTTTCGATATTCAAGTGGACAATACAAAACAAAATGAGGCTCATCTTCTACCACCCCCAGGTCACACACTGTACAGAGACGGGCCTCTTCAGGAACCGCTTTAAAGCGGCCCACCTCCACTGTTAGAGGCAAAGTGCCGGTCCTCAGCTGGGCTAACAGAGAGCGCTGCCTTCTCGGTACATTTAACTGTACGTACAGTTCTGTGTAAAACTCCTGTTTGAATAAAATATAATGTCTTAACTTAGGTTTCCTGCAAATATCAAGTTTCCATTGTGCTTTAAACTCTGTTAATGCGTTTTGTCTAAACAAACTTATATCACATCTTAATTTATTTAAATAAACATAATTTAAATGAGAACTTAAGAATACTTCTGCCATTTCTCTAGACCAGGGGTAATTGTTTGAACAATTCCAAATAAAAATCTTTTTTGTAAGCCTGTGATTGGGAAGCTGGATGAGGCGGTTCCATAAACGCACCATTTCAGCCCTTTGCTTAATGAGACACGGCTCACATCCCATGTCCCCCTGTGTCGCTGGTATTGGGGTGAATTTATGCACTCCCAAAAATGTTCTAATAGCTCTATTCTGGAGAGCATTAACGTGATCAATCTCCTTGAAACCCCAAACTCCCGCTGCATAGAATAGAATAGAGCTGACCAAAGAGTCATACAGTTGTGTATAAACAGAGAAACTTAAGTCTGGGACAATTTTCATTTTACTCACAATGGAGCCCAGAGCTCTCCCTGCAGACTCACACAGAGACTGGGTTCCCTCTGTAAAAACCATGAACTCATTGAAGACCAACCCGAGGTACTTATATGAACGTGTGTAGGTTAATGGAGAAAGGTCATAAAGGAAGGAATATGCACTTTGTGACTGATTCTTTTTCCGGAAATGCATAATTTGTGTTTTATCTTTGTTTAGGGCCAGTCTCCATTTTCTACACCATGCACTTAAAATATCTAACATCATCTGTAATTTGTCTTCAGTCTCTGCCAGCAAAATAATGTCATCTGCATACAACAGGAGACTTAAGTTGAAGTCATCAATACAAATACCAAGGTTGGCTCCTTTAATTTCGTTCACCAGGTCGTTTATGTACAAAGAAAATAAAGTTGGTGATAACACATCGCCCTGTTTCACTCCAAAAGGGGGGAAACCAACCCGTTCTTAGATTGTTTATTTGCACACAGGCAACAGGGGCCTGGTAGAGGGACTTGATGGTGTCATAAAACCTCCCCTTAATGCCATATCCCAGCAATTTATACCACAGAAGATCCCTGTTAACCCAATCAAATGCTTTTTGGATATCAATGAAGCAGGCAAACGTAGATTTTCCTTCTTGCAGCCTGGCTCTCAGCACAGATGATAAAACATACATATGGTCAATGCAGGCCCTGCCTTTTCCAAAG